CGTTGCTGTTGGTATTTTCTTTGTTTCTGAGGAAAGCAGACGCAATAGCGACGACGCTTTCCCACAGGACGCTTTTCCAACATGTTTTGGGGGTCACCTGCGAATTTCGCTTAGGAATTTTGAGATCTCTTATTCCCTTCTCCTCGTTATCCTATTCCTCGTGCATTGTTAACTTCTTTGTTGCAGCATTCCACTGTTGTTCAACGTGTGCTTTATGATATTGCGATTTTCCGATTTTCCAATTTCCTGATTTCTTTCACTGTAACAATTTGGTTTTTTCTTTTGATTTTCTTGGTTTCCTCCTCTTATCTTCCTTTCCTGGTTGTTGCTGTTTTGTAAATGGACGTTTTGTTGTTGTTTGGCTTAATTTCGATATGTGTGTTTGTTGTGTGTTTGAATCCTCGCTTGTTCGGGCACCGTGCACCGTTCCTCGTAGTTGTTGGTTATTTATTTAAAGTGCGAGCTTAGTTTACTTAACTTCGTGCTCTTATTGTATTTTGTCTGTCCTTTTGGGCTGCTGCTGCTTCTTCCCCATTTCGCTTTTCCTGCTGCTTTCGCTCTCCTTCTTCTTCGCCAGTCAGCTGTCGTTGAGCGAGAGGGAATTCGAGAGAGCACTGTTATGTCGTACTCTTTGCGCAAACTCTCTGCGCGTTGGTGTTGTACAATGCGATAATACAATGTCCTATAATCGAGGACGTGCATTAATTTGTTCTGTCCTCACACACTAACCGAAATCTCGGGATTGTAATGCTTGTTTCCACTTTCATGTTATCAATATTCCCCAGCAAACTTTCGCTTAACTTCGCACTGCCACTCACTTTTCACTCCTATGTGTGAGGCTATGTGGGGCATTGGGCGCGCGTTTTATGCCGATAATTCTTTTGTCCAGCGGTGACTTCACCCGTTTTTCAGCACGGGGTAACCGTTAACTACTCGCAGTGCAAGTTCGTTTGCTTTTTGCTAAAATGGTATTACTTATTAGTGGTCAACAATCGAATCGAAAAACAAACTCGACAGATCCGCGCAGCTACAAGTCTTCTTTTGCACAACTTTTACGCTCTGCCTTTTGTTACGCTGTTTCTTTTTGTTCTCTGTGTTCCATTCACGTTTTGGGTTTATTCGCCCGTGTTGTTGTTTTCCAGGGGTGGCTTTCGCTTTCCGACTCTCTCTCGCTCTCGCTCTCTCTCTCTCTCTCTCTCAGCTACGTTTCCTCTCTCAAGCTTTGCAACCCCTCGGAACCACAGTTTGAGCTCTAGTTCTTAGAACTACAGTTTGAGAGTGCTTTAACCCGCTGGTTGTTCTTGTTGTTTGTTTTGCTTGGCCTTCCTTGCCGACTTCCCGGCGCTTTCCAGACTTTCCAACACTGCCATTCGCCATGTGCTCGCCTCATGTCACCTCAATTTTTAATGGCGGCCCACTGCACCTGGCCACCGATTCCCAGATCGAGATCCGTTGGAAAATCCCAATTGACCGAGTTGGGGCATTTCAAAGTTTTCCCAAGGTTACTGCTCCCCCATATGCAGACAAACAACTGGTTTTTCGACCTTAACTGCTTGCGGGCTGCCAAAATGTTGGCCCAATGTTGATGGGATCGGCGTTAATCGTTAGATAGACAAGGAATACTGGTGGAATGATGAACTACCGTGTTGTTTCTAAAGCCACGATAAATCCCTTAAGCACATTCTGATGTTATATTGATGTCCACAAAGATTCCGCCCTCGGAAACGCTAGTAATGCTTTCCACCCACTTCCACTTCCTCGCGTAATAGTTATAATGAGCTAACACATTTTGAAGCCCCGACACGACTAATTGAAGCATAAGTAAAGAGGCTGTTAACGGTTTGGCCCCCAAAAAACCGAAGGGTTGCCGGCAATTTAAAGGGGGAGTAAGGAGCAGAGGAGGAACTGGGAAATCGGGGTGGCTATGGCCATTCTGGCCCATCCTGTTAGCTAGTTAACATCCACGTGTTTGTACATGAATTTAATCTCGGGGCAAACAAAGTAACAAGAATTCAATTTGTCACAGTGGTTGGCCCCGCTTTGTTAAGTATCCGGGGTTACCGGAGTTTGTCCTGGGACTGGGTTGCTAAGTGAAGCCGGGGATTCGGAGGTGGCCAAGGATCAGAGGCAAACATCGCCGGGCAACGGTAGCTCTATCTCTCTGAGCTACCCATGATCTGGCTGCGGGAATGGGAGCATGAAATGCACAGAGAGAAATGGGTTGTTGTCTCGAACGGGGAATATTTGCTGCTTGATTTGAGGGTATTCAACGCTTTTTCCACCATTAGCCCTACTAAGCACTCCTTTTTGGCGGAAATTCCCAGGGCCGGCCCTTCTTTTGGGCAGTGCAGAGGCAGAACTAAATGTCGCGAGGGAGGTGGTGTAAATATTTGCATTTCGCTTGTTTTTTGGGGTGTTGCGTTAGGCAAAGCCAAAAGGCTCCAGGGACTTGTTAATGCAAACAATGCGCATTTGATATTGAAAGCATAAGTACGATGGGCTGGGGCAAAATCGAGCAACTGGAAGGGGGCTGTATCTACAGCCTGTGTATTTCGTCCTTTTGGGGTAGTTTTGTGCCACACAGACCAGGGGGAGCTGTAAAGCTTCTCTGCGCTTGCAGCCGCACGAACTCCAACGCAGGCCTGCATTAAAGCGTATTTCCGGGGAGCACTGGGTGCCAAGGGGTACCGAGTACTGGGCGGAACTCGACGTAGGCTTGTGTACCGAGCACCCGCTGTGGAGTCCGTTACCCATCCCTTTACAGAAGTAGAGGCACTCAACAAAATACAAGGTGGTTATGGTTATGCGAACAACAACTCTTTCAACACTCTAAGCAACCTCATTTGTATAGACAAGTTACAAAAAAATCACTGCAAGTTGTATCTCAAGATCTTTCCCTCGATTGAATCTTATTACAATGCTACGTGTATGTTCTGAATTTCCTTCTATTTCGTGCAGTGTCTATCTGCCGCTTGAGTTGGTGACAACTTTTCGGTCGGCGGACCAGTTTTGTTGTGCGCCACAGCTGTTAGTGGCCCCTTTAGCTACAGCTGCTCCACCCCTGTATAGAACACCATTGTCATGAAAATCTGGGGACCCTCCACCCACCACCTTTAAAAGCTCCCCTCCAATGTTGGGGGATAGACGGATCCCCGTGCCCTCGTTTTAATTTCGCCACCCCAGAGATAAGGATTAGAAGCGGGGGCTGCCAGTCATTTAATGGCTTACCTTATCTTCGGCTTCCTCGGCGCGTTCTTCCGCTTCAATGACGCGTTGTTCGAGCTCCGTTAGCTGCAAGTGGAAAGAAGGGGACTTGGTTAAAACGCATCAATGTTAACGTTGCAGTTGCCAAAGCAGACATATGTACGTATATCTCTTTATCTTGAGGATATAGCAAAAACTTACTTCTTAATTACAAGTGTGGCCTAATTTTGATGTCTTATCCATGGTTTTAAATATATAATTAATATTGTTAGGATGTATGCTTCATTTTAACATAACTATAGTAAATACATAGGCTTAACAGATTTTCAGAAATATTTACTAGGAGGTAAAGCACTTAAGTATATATTTTCTTAATATTGCCACTATTAAAATAAAACTACATATTTGTATACAAGGTTCGAATAAAATACGGTAGATACTTAATTTTTGAGATATGTGTAAAATATTACCTGCCGCCATCTATATCTGAAGGCGCGTTAATTATAAAAATGTTTTACCCTAGTAACGGGTATCAGATAGCCAAGGTACTCGACCATAGCGTTTCTTCTTGGTTTTTTTCCCCCACAGAGTAGATGTTTACCTTTATAAGTTTTAGGCAATTGGTCTATACACGAATTAGTAATATTTTCTATAGATACATTCTATCCCTTGTATTTAAGGGATTTCTAAAGAAATTTACAGTGTAATTGCATAGCCGATTCTACAACCCTATGCAACCATTTATCTGATACACTCTCCCACTCATTATTCACTTTAGTGCAGACACCTACCCTGCCAATAAGAACTTCCCAGTATTTTTCGGTGTGGTGAATTGTGTTTAAGCTATTGAAGAAAGATTATTTTGAGGTCTTTTATGTTTTTTGTTTTTTTCTGCAAGGAAGGTTGGTGTCTCACTGGGAATCATCCACACAGCCACCCGATGGATGGTCTATCCATCAATGAATCAATCATGGGAAATGACACACAATTTGCGGCTAATAGGGATAATGCTCTCTAGCTAATACAATTCTTGTCGCTGGGATCTGTTTCCTTGCACCTGGTATTACAATAATTTTGGAAAACGGCGCACATTTCACCCTTGGTCGCTTACTTCGCGCGTTTAGCAACTCAATGGCATGCCTTTTAGGAAAGGTGAAAAGTCGGCCGCGAAAAGAGCCCTCTAGGAATTCCCTTCCAATTAATCACCCAAGTGGCCCACAGAGCCCAAGAGTCCAAAGGGAGAAAGGACGCGGAGGAAGCTGGTTAAACGCCGCTAAGGGTTCCACTTGAACCGCGCGAGAGATCGACTGCCGTCTATTTTGAATGTCTTAAGTGCATTAATTTCCGCTTTTTTTGCCATTCAAGTGGCCACTCAGTCAAGGCGGCGGAGGACGGGGGTGTGGAGCCCATTGATTGATGGATGTCAAATTGTTGTGCGAAATATGAAGGAGCCTCCTCTACTGATGATGAATGGGAAAGCGGAAGTGGCAGCTTGACTTGATGGCACGCTCTCATACATCTCCGCTTAAGTCGGAGTTAACCTTTGGTAAGCTGTGGAGGAGTATATTCCCCTACTTAAAGTAAGTGCCGCCTAAGAACTCCAATTTTATTAGGAAGTGCTTTTATTTGTTCGCTTGCTGCTTAAGCTGCACTTCAGTACCATAACCAAGTCCGATTAGTCATCTAATGACTGAGTTGAGGACTAATTGACAACGCCATTCCCTTGGCCAAAAACAGCTGCGCAGGGGGAACCACTATAAAAGAGGTGGAACCTGCGACAAGCTCGCCCAGAAACGACAGATATGTGCTCCAGTCTAAGCGACTTCTTTGCCTGCATCAGGGCCCAGGGAAATGTCGAAGCGGATTCCACCAGCTCCACCCATCAGCGGAACAACGCTGACCTGGACGATGAGCCGCCCGACCTGCAGCCCAAACAGGAGCAGATCCGCCAGAGGAGCGACACAACCGTGGCCCAGCACCACGATTCACTCCCAGTTCCGCCTCCGGCTGGATCTCCATCGACGGACTACCTTCGCCCCTCTTTGCGGCCAGCACGGGTCTCCTACGAGGCCTTGGAGCGCTACTATCGGATTTATGGTAGATCTCGCCAAGACGCCGGGTCATCTGGTTCAGTGAGAAATATTTCCGACCAGTTCTAGGCGTACATTTGTTGGGACTTTGAGATTGATATGATAGGATGATATATGATATATACGCCCATTTTCCGCTAAAAGTCGAACACATTAAATACATTTTACACATTTCCCTGACTCGACTGTATAGACAATCAACGGCTGGCATTTCACCGCTGGCGTTGACCGCTGCGACAAAACTTGGCCAAAGCATTGGATTAGGCAAAAAGCTGAAAAGGTGGAAAGTTCGGCTCGACTTGCGTGCGTGAAAGATTGCCGTGGTTTTACCGGATTTTGCCGTCCACATCCGTACACCTGTTTAATCAGGGGCGTTCTGGCCTGCCAATTGGCGACTTAATTGGAAGGAAATGAAGCAGTCGGAGGCCTTAAACAGAACACATTTGGCATTAATTGCTGGAGTGGCTGGGTGGCAGGGTGGGTCCACTTTCCTTCAGACACTTCAGACTTAAACACACAAGTTTTACAAATGTGCTACGCAGTCGCAACAAGAACGGAAACGGAAAATGTAATTTCGCAGCCACGAATGCAATTCCAGCAAACAAATGGCTCACAATGGGTGAAGTAAGCCCCCGAAGCTCCTGCTGCCAAAGGAGGTGACTTTGCCCATTAGTCGGTTTAGGTGTCGTTTGCCGCTCTGCTGAAAGTTTCCAGCGAATGTCTCACTAAAAGTTGTCTTTCTCGCGATTGCGATACAGATGTGAATATATAGGGGACTCAGTGGGTGGGTGGACAATGCTGCACGGAGGAGGGGCGCAGATCTTGATGGGCTGCAGTAGCTCCGGTTCATCCGACTGGGAATTGCTTTGGGTAAAACGAGTTTACACTGGTGTATTCCACAACCGGAAGGCGGACCCAATTGATAGGTCAACAATGGAACAGTGCAACAGTGAACATTTTTCAGTGGTCTGCGTATACGTAATGTGATCTGCCCCCACCAAACAAAAAAAAAACATTTCCACAGTTTATAAACATTATTTTCATATTTCTACACAACTCCACCAGTACGCGCAAAGCACACATGTGAACAACAAACTGTTTAACAGACTAAAGGGTATCCGTTAGTTGGAACTCGACTCTTGTTCTTTCTTTGCACTGTTTAGGAAACTGTGCCTGGTGTTTTGGCATTCACAATCGAATCCAAACATTTACCGCACATAGCCGCACATACACTCAAGTAATGTTATACCATTTGAAGCTATCGTACACAGGCTTTGTTGGATTCGTTTAGACCACTCTTGTCCATCGATGACCTGTAGATTGGTTATTACGCCCTGTTTTATTGGTTTTCAATTCGTATGCCTGTTGTCTCCTCATTTGGTTTGTGTTTTGATTGCAAAAAGTTAATTAAAATTTTGTTGTAATTGAATTTTATTGCATTGTTTGTTTGCATTTTGTTTTGTTCAGTTTTTTTTTTTTTTTTTTTTTGCTTTGTGCGCAGCTTTGTTTGAGTTTTGTCGAGTTTTTCTATTTTTTTGCCGGCTGTTTTGTTGTCTGGCCATTATGCCATTTGTTGTCATTTGGTTTTTGCCTTTGGTCTTAATTGGATTATGGCAAAAAGAGTTTTAATTAAACCAAATGAAGTGGAGTGCGGGCAGCGAGCGTTGGGCTTTGTTTTGAATCAAATGATGGTTTCCGGCAGCCTGGGATCATCGAAACCATCGAAGCCATCGAAGGCATCGAAGCCATCATCCTGCCACTCCTGCTCGCCAGCCCACGGATGGCAGATGAGTTCAAAGGTCAGTGGCGGCAGCGGCGGCAGTTCAACCTTCACCACTTTGGGCGCTGCTTCCTCCATCGACGGAGTCGATGGAAACTCCATCATACAGTCGCCGCCGCAGCGCCGGCAATATAGCAGATCCACCAAGAAGCCCAGAAACATCCCGCCCTCTGATTATGCGGTGCTTCCCCGAAAGCTGATTTCGCAGCACTGCCGATATCGGATGGTTACCTGCTACTACCCAGCTACTCCCACAAATCCACCAGTCCACCAATCCACGCCCCACAATCCACAGCACCACAGCACAGCTGCGTCCACAGCAGAACTCGCAAATGGATGGATTACAGACTCGCTCGTTCTCCAGTAAACCCATCGTCATCAGTGTAAAAAGCAAATGACAAAATTAATTAAAATTAAAATTAAATGTCGCTCGTTTGGCGTTGATTAAGGAGTGCGATCATGCATTATGCATTATGCATAACACATTATATCGTATTCACTGCATCGGCATTACGTAATCCACTGTCCACACACACGCACACATGCGCATTTATGCACTTATGCATTTATGTTTGTTGGTGTATAGAATGCACATTATAATTACATTTATGCGCGGCCATCAAATTCAATGGGGCTAAAGCATTTGCATAACGTCTGCACACCACAACCCCCATTCACTCATTAAAGTCTAGATACGAGGAGGCTTCCGTTCGAAAAAGCACTTTTGAGCCCCTGCAGGGCGTACTAGTACTGAGCCCTATTTAGACCGCCATAATTGGGGACTAAACGTGAATAAAGTTTAAAGATCAGTTCAATACATTTCTGCTCTGTCTGCCTCTGTCTCGCTCTCGCCGTATTTCCGTCCCACTCACTCGCTGTCTAGTGCAACGAGAAATTCAATTTGGCCAGCAAGGAGCGAGCTTAAAATTGAATAAGAATGAGAATGCTGGCGACGACGATGACAACGGAAATTTGCAATCTTTTAATCACACTTACTCACTAGCTCTGTGCCTTTCCCCCCGGCTCTCCGCGCCTCTCGCCATCCCGCTCAGTGATTTTAATTATGCTTAACAAGCTGGGAAGAAGCAGCAGCTGCGGCTGAGGAAGATAAATGAAGGCCATAGCTCGCCATCCACAAGTCCTTCGAGGAATGCCGCTCCACATTTCACACTTTATGTTCCCATTTGTTTATATTAAGCTGGTTGCATTATCAGAGGTATTATGATGTCGGAATGTGACTAATTAAACGCGCTCGCTTCTTTCACAATGCATCCCTAGTTCTTTCCATATTCGTCATATTTTATTGGTTTTGGTTTCTGGTTATCTTTTTACTTTGGCAGTTGAGAAATAGCGCGGCAAATGCAGCATGGTCACAAGTAAGCTGTGCGAAAAAAGCGGAAAGTAGGCCAATCACGCCGCAGCCAAATTCATGTCAACCGCATGAAGGCCAGGCCCATACGCATACCACTCACCTTTTTTTTTGGCTTTGGGTCAAGTGGAAAGAAGAACAAGCACGACAAGAATAACCACAACATGAAAAACTAGGTTAACATGGGTTAAGGTGTGTCATTAACTTGCCACAAACACACATGGGAGGCCTGGCCCGGCATTGAGTTTGCCCTGCGGCGCTGCACCGCGCCTTTCCTCTTTTCCTTTTCCCCTTTCAACATTCTCCATTCCTCATCCCCATGCCAATTTCCATTTTCTGTTTAACCTATCCCCCGCATGCATGCACTGCGAAAAATCAAGTTTGACATTAACAGCCTGTATTTGTGACTCTGCACACGCTCTATATCCTAGCACAAAAGTCCCCCTTTTCAAACCGAAACAACTATCGACTATCAGATACCCAGACTATTCACTCAGCTCAAAGCGAAAGGGAGAGCAAGTTGCAAAGCGACTGCTTCCAAGGTTGCACGCGAAAATAATACAATTTTTATCGTCCTTTGTACATGTTCTGCCTGCGGAGTCATTAGAGGGGCGTTTCACCACTGCTCCCGACGGAGGACTTCTCATTACGTCTAATGTGCCAAGGGCACCTGCACCTGCAGCATCTCCACCTGGCTGAACTAATTAGCAGCTAGGCAAGCTAGGCAAAGTCGAAGGCAGCTCAGCTTAGAGCGGCAAAGTTCCTGCTCGGGCGCCATCGAAATTGACACAAATTGGCACAGGGCGAGTACATCAGGGCAATCAGATTAGGCGATGTCGTCGTCATCGCGTCATCGTATGTGCGATGTGTTTTCCCGGTGCACCCCATTTTCCCGGCTTTTTCGCTCCAGAGGTAAATGCTGAGGATGAGCTGAGGAGAAGCCACAGCAGCCACGCAACGATTTTGCAGCTGCTTTCAATCATGACGCACGGATTAGGACTCAGGTTAAAGATTAACAATGCCAAACAAGAGCGACAGACTGTCAGGCGGAGGAGGTTTGCTCACGTCACGCCCACTATTAGTTGGAGCGCTGCTGATGGATCGAATGGATGGTACTGAATGGGATTGGATGGGATTGGATTGGATTGGATGCGACCATCGAGAGGAAGGAAGCGGAAGAGTGGAAGATAAGATAAGCCGATTGCGCACAGCAAGTGCAGCGGAGATGTAGCAGAAACCAGATTAGGCAGCAGACTGACTTGAGGGGAAGCGGTATTCCAGGACGTACGTTAAAGTTATGCGAGGAACAGGTTGGAACAGGTTGGTGAGCAAGTATGCCCAGTTTGGTTTAGGGTAACAATAGAGCCATTAACCATCTCCTCTTCTTCCTTCCAAATGAAATCCCTGATTAACGGGCTTTGAAATAAACGCCTTTCAAGTTGAGTGCAAAGAGAGTGTGATGACCGCAAAGCATTGTCATAAAAAGCAGAAATGGCGAGATATCCCAAAGCTATTAGCAGTTGATAGCGTCTCAAGGACTCCAGCCAGATCAGGCCCAACTCCGTTTGTCCCACAGGCGACTCAAGATAAGGACAACAAAGCCGGGCGGGCGAGGAATAACAATTAGTGCATACATTTGGCACGGCAAAGAAGTACAGGCGAGGCACAGACACAAAGAAAAGAACTGAGAAAAGCAGGAGTCCGCGCAATAATCACAGCCAAGTGCTGCATATTTATAGGCGCAATCAAGTTTATTGCGCCAGCAGCACAAGAAAGGACTGCGACTACCTTCTTCATACTAATTAACTTAATTGCGGCGCCACTTCGCGCTGGAAGAAAGTGCCACTCAAAAGTTCAATGCATTCCCGGGCCTTGATAATTCTTCAAAATAATATTTGGATTGCTGCCGAACGAGTGAAGTTCTTGTATTTCGCAAAAAAAATGTCAAAATTTGCAAAAAATGTACAAAAAATTTAATTTTTAGTTTTGGATACAGTTTGATTGGAAATTTAAATACGAACTCAACGAGGTATAACAATCCACATTCAGACAATTATTTTTAAAGTTGCGGCAAAAAACTGATTATTTCATGTCGGAAAATCGGAAAAACGACTTTTGGCAAATATTCGATATTTTCGATGGGCATTTTCATCACAACTTCCATAAAAATAATCACAAAGTTGAAATAATAACAGTTTTAAGCAGCTGATTACCACCGCTAACCATCCCTACCATTTTTTGACGGACTTGGGAAAAACATTTTTTTTGTGATTTTTTGCCTTTTTTTGTAAGGGGTAACATCAACAAAATTTGCAAAAAATGGCCAAAAAATTGTATTCCTTTTTTTGGACATAGTTCGATTGGAAATTTAAATACGAGCTCAACGACGTATGGCATTCCATATTCAGACAATAATTTTTAAAGTTGTGGCCAAAAAACTGATTATTTTATGTCGGAAAATCGCAAAAACGACTTTTGGGAAATATTCGATATTTTTCGAAGGGAATTTTTATCATAACTTCCATAAAAATGATCAAAAAGATGAAAGAATGACAGTTTTGAGCAGCTAATTACCAACGCTAAACATCCCTATCACTTTTAGACGGACTTGGGAAAATAATTTTTTTTTTGATTTTTTGTCTTTTTTTGTAAGGGGTAACATCAACAAAATTTGCAAAAAATGGCCAAAAAATTTGATTTCTATTTTTTGATACAGTTCGATTGGAAATTTAAATACGAGCCCAACGAGGTATGACATTCCATATTCAGACAATTATTTTTAAAGTTGTGGCCAAAAAACTGATTATTTTATGTCGGAAAATCGGAAAAACGACTTTTGGCAATTATTCCATATTTTCGATGGGCATTTTCATCATAACTTCCATAAAAATGATCACAAAGTTGAAAAAATAACAGTTTTAAGCAGCTAATTACCACCGCTAACCATCCCTATCACTTTTTGACGGACTTGGGAAAATAATTTTTTTTTTGATTTTTTGTCTTTTTTTGTAAGGGGTAACATCAACAAAATTTGCAAAATATGGCCAAAAAATTTGATTTCTATTTTTTGATACAGTTCGATTGGAAATTTAAATACCAGCTCAACGATGTATGGCATTCCATATTCAGACAATTATTTTTAAAGTTGTGGCCAAAAAACTGATTATTTTATTTCGGAAAATCGGAAAAACGACTTTTGTGAAATATTAGATATTTTTCGAAGGGAATTTTCATCATAACTTCCATAAAAATGATCACAAAGTTGAAAGAATGACAGTTTTGAGCAGCTAATTACCAACGCTAAACATCCCTATCACTTTTAGACGGACTTGGGAAAATAATTTTTTTTTGATTTTTTGTCTTTTTTTGTAAGGGGTAACATCAACAAAATTTGCAAAAAATGGCCAAAAAATTGTATTCCTTTTTTTGGACATAGTTCGATTGGAAATTTAAATACGAGCTCAACGACGTATGGCATTCCATATTCAGACAATAATTTTTAAAGTTGTGGCCAAAAAACTGATTATTTTATGTCGAAAAATCGAAAAAACGACTTTTGGCAAATATTCCATATTTTCGATGGGCATTTTCATCACAACTTCCATAAAAATGATCACAAAGTTGAAAAAATAACAGTTTTAAGCAGCTGATTACCACCGCTAACCATCCCTACCACTTTTTGACGGACTTGGGAAAACAATTTTTTTTGTGATTTTTTGCCTTTTTTTGTAAGGGGTAACATCAACAAAATTTGCAAAAAATGGCCAAAAAATTGTATTCCTTTTTTTGGACACAGTTCGATTGGAAATTTAAATACGAGCTCAACGATGTATGACATTCC